TCTATCTATCTATCTATCTATCTATCTATCTATCTATCTATCTATCTACCTATCTATCCATCCATCCTACTGTCTTGGTTTTATTGAGTCAAGGTCTTTCTATATTGCCCTACTTGCCCTGGAACTCACAGGACTAGGCTGTCCTCCAGCTCACGGAGATCTGTTTGCCTCTGCCTCCCAAGTGCAGCCAAATAACGCTTATATAGACCAGTTCTTGAAATAGGTCTTTTTACTTTATATTATCATTAGGGTGTGTGTGAGAGAGAGACAGACAGACAGAGAGGGAGAGAGAGAATGTGTGTTGTGAATGGGATATGTGCACAAGGGCAAGCGGACATGTAGACACGTTTGTTTTCTCTTTTCACTTTTGCATAGATTTTGGGGGTAGAACTCCAGGCCACCGGAGTTCCATGGCAAGTGCCTTTGCCCACTCCTGAGCCATCCTATTGGCCATAAAAACCAGCTTTAAAAGAAAAGAAAGACAAGCTGGGTGAGGTGACACATGCCTATAATCCCAGCACTCAGGGAGGCAGAAGCAGGTGTATCTCTGTGAGTTCGAGGCCAGCCTGGCCTATGGTCTACAAAGTGAGTCCAGGACAGCCAAGGCTACACAGAGAAACCCTGTCTTGAACCCTGTCCCTGCCAAAAAAAAAAAAAAAAAAAAAAAAAAAAAAGTATGAAAAAAAGAAAAGTATGAAAAAAAGATTAGGATTAGATAGACTTTGACTTAAAATCAGTCTCCTCTGCTTTTCGTCCCTCAAAGCTTGGGTTAGTGATGTAATCTTTATGGGCCTTGTTTTCCTCATCTGAGGCTAAGCCATGTCCTCCAGGGTTCTTGGGAAGAGTAACAAAGTAATTTTACAATGAGTAAAACATTCCCGAGGGTCACAGTGAACAGATTCCATGAATGTGTTTTTTCTTCTGTCCTATTCCCAAACCTTCCCTAGTTTTCTTCCTTATGCAGACTGCCCCACTAGACTTACCCTGTGGTGAGATTACTCAAACATCACTGCCAACTCTCCAGCTTGAATGTAAGGCACAAAAAAATCCAGGTGACTTGGTCATATGGGATTTCATTTTTCTTACAAATAATAGATCATATTAACTTTACCCAAGTATGCCCTCCTGATGATGGCTGATGATCTTGTGGTTTTTTTTTTTTTTTTTTTGGGGGGGGGGTGAAGGTGGTGATCCATAATACAAAGAAGCCATTTCATTGGTAGGATTTGTTTTTATTTATTTGAATTTTTTTTTCTTGCTAGAGATTTTGAATGGACAGTTTCAGGGTCCATAGCACCAACAGATGGTGAAGTAGGACTAGGGGAGAGAACCTGTGTTCTTGCACATTGAGCACCCTGGTGGGTAGTGTTCTTTGGGTTGACATGGGATTATAATCAGTAAACCAGTCAGCAACAGAGTGGGAAGATTATTCTGTCTTTTCAAAGAGACACAAGGGCAGGAGGAAGGAGGTAGAGGGCAAAGAACGACCATCACCATTTCCAGCAGCTCCAGAAATCCCCCTGCTCTCAGGTACTCCGTCTTTGCTCTTTATGACCAGTGTGTTATCTCATAGCAGTGTGTGTGAGAGAAGAGTGGTTTCAAGTTCTTTTCCTCTTGCTCCTGGGGCTTAGGTGGTTATGGCAGGAGGTGAATCTGGTACAGAAAAGTAGAGGGTTTGAATTGTGAATGGTTCAGACAGGTATCTCTGCTCCTGTAGCCCAGGGCAGAGTGCCCGCCTCCCCACATGTAGCGGACACTGATAGAGGAGACCTCCGCTTCAGCTTTACGGACCACAGTACAGGGTCTTACTTGGCTCCATATATCTAGCATCAGGGCAAAAGGTACATGCTTAGTTTCGAATGAATGAATGAATAAATAAATGAGTGAAGTAGAGGAGCTCAGAACAGGGACTCTGGAGATGTGAACTTGAAGCCCAGCTCTCACATTAGCCAAACATGACTTTGAGAACATCACTTAATCAGAGGAAGGAAGGCTTCTGCTTCCAGAAGTGGAATGAGACCACTGGTCTTGATAATGTTTGAGGCCTTTTTGATAGCCTTGAGGTTCTCAGGTTTTCCTGTTATCTACTTCCTCTGCTATCCAGCACCATAGACTATGGTGTTCTGGCTTTGAAGACCTGTGTTTATAATATGGTGCTTGTCTAGCATACTTAAGGACCCATGAGCAACACCTGATACCACAAAAATGGATAAATAAACATACATTCTGGCAACTAAAAGAAAAATCTACTACAGATCCTGTTTGATTTTTCCCGACTTTCAGAGAATCAAGATAGAAAAGAATAAAGTTACAAGTAAGGTGGTTATGAGTATATTTCGCTTTTGGAAGAATCAGTGTAAGGCTCATCATTTTCAGACCTGAGGCTCATCGTTTTGACTTAGAATTTTCATTGATGGTGGAAAAGTTCTGTAATCAGTGCTGGTATGACTGAGCAACTGAATCTTAGCTTTTCTTTCATTTTATTTGAAGTAATTTAAATAGCCATAGTTGGATGTTACCCATTGAATAGTATAGTCTAAAGCATAAACTCCATAAGGACAGCATTCCCTCTGTCTCTCTGCCTTTCTGTCTGTCTCTGTATCTCTGTCTCTCTCTATCTTCTCTGTTTCTCGCTCTCTCTCTCACTGCTAACATGCCTGGTACAAAGGTACATACTGAAGAAATGCCATCTTCTGGCAGATGTTCAGCAGTGCCCAGGGAAGAAGATGTTCCATGCCTGGAACTCACTGGCCTGAGTCAGGAATCTTTACATGCTTCTTTATGTTCACTGACTAACCGCCAATGAATAAAAATACACCCAACTGTGATGTCCTTCCTTAAATGTGACATCCTGATTGTGTCCTGTTCTAGGCACCAGAAACCGAGAGGAATAAGACTTCTAGGGGGAATCAGAGAGCCGCAGATTGGATAAAGATAAGAAAGGACCTCCGATGAAGAGCTAGTGAAGACCCACTGTTTTGCCTGAGAGGCCAGCTTTGCATATGCTAGGCTATGTAGTGACACCTAGGCTTGTAGTGACTTCTCTGTGGCCCTGTCAGGAAGGTGACCCAACAGTGCTCCAGGGCAGCTCTCAGAGCTTAGTTCCGGTGTGGAGATTATGGAGGCAGGTTACACTGTCTTCTTTCCCTGCTATCTTTACCTATGTAGATAATTCTCGCTCGTTTGGAACAAGTCTTCTAAAAACAGGGACACACATGACCTTTAGAGAGCAGTCAGTGGCTCCAGCATTGAGCTCTGCCAGGCCAGGCCATGCAAGGCAGGGCGGTAGCACTGGATACCACCCTGGGGCAGAGCACAGCTGTTGGTAAACCCAGCCAAGAGCATGCTCTGCTGATAGCATTAACTTCAGAGGGTGGAAGAATTCCAGAGTTGGAAGCAGCCTTTAAATTATCCCCAAGTGTTTCATTTTACAAATGAAGAAACCAAGACTCAGAGAGCCAAGACAACCAGCGAGTAAGTTACAGAGCCAAGACTAGAACCCGGGTTTCCTGATTCCTAATCTAGATCTCTTTTCACTCCCGTCGGCAGTAGGAAAATAATGCACAATTCTGTTCTTGACTGGATGCAGGCCTGGAGTATAGATTACTGTCTTCTTCTTGCTTTATGTCCAAAACACTGACTGAGTCACAGAGAAACAGATAGAAGCAAACAATTAACAGAGTATATGCACGATTCAGTAAGAATACTTGCAGCATGCCAAAGGTAAGCGCATAGGAAATGGGCTGGATGGTCAATGTGGGAGAACAAGAGATTGCAGTTTCTTACATCCTGTTCTAATCAGTGCGTATTCCCCTGGAAAGAAATGTGAGAGTCGTAGAATGGGGACATTTCATATCACTCAAAACAGAAGGTGTAGTCAGCTGTGATGAAAGGTGGAAAAGAAAACAGTTCAAGTGGTCTGAAACACTCCTGCTTCGTACCACTGGGAAATGACAGCACCAGCAGATTACAAAGAGGAACAGCATCAGGAAATAGTAGAGGCTGATAAGGCAAGTGGAGGGTACTTTTCTCTGGGCTTGAGCCAGGCCTGTCAACATTCTCCCAGCCGGTGCTGTTGCTGGAAGGGAAGGAAAAGTCAGGCTGGCAGTACTATTCGATGGTTTGGCCGAAGCCTCCCCTCCACCGTACCTCCAATGAGGCAGAAAACTGCTGGACGTTAGCGATAGAGTCGATGACTGGTCAAGGAGGAATGAAAATGAAATTAAGTGAAAAACACTCTAGGCACACCTGATAAAAGGGAACTTATTGTCCAGGCTTGGTAGCACACACCTGTCATCCCAGCACTCGGGAAGCAGAATCTCTGAGCTCAAGCCCAGACTATCTAGAGAAATCCTGTCTCGAAAAACCAAGTTAAAGAAAAGTGTGTGTGTGTGAGAGAGAGAGAGAGAGAGAGAGAGAGAGAGAGAGAGAGAGGTTGTGTGTGTTTATTTCAATCTCTTATTTGGAGAAAAAAATAAGTCTAGCTTTGAAACAGACATTTTTTTCCGCGGGAAAGGTTTTGAGATAACGTTTCTCTGTGAAGCCTTGGCTATCCTGGAGCTCAGTCTGTAGACCAGGCTGGCCTGGAACTCACAGAGATCTGCCTGCCTCTGCCTCCTAAGTGCTGGAATTAAAGGTGTGCACCACCACTGCCCAGGGAAACAGACATTTCTAAAGTCAGAATTACAGAGATTTTGTGTTGGTCATTATCTTAAAGAGGTCACGTGTGGTCCCCAGTGCCATGCCCAATAAAGAGCTCTGGAAATTCTTTCCTCCCACATCCTCTCCCTCTAAGACATGGCTCAAAGTCTACCTTCTTCACTTGGTTATTTGGCCCACTGCTCTGTTCAGAGAACACAATGTCTGGAATTGAAAGGATGGAAGCAAGGGTTCCTCTCAGAAGAAACTCAATAAAAGGATTGTTACTCTCTTGGCCACTTAAGCACTCATACTTTCTGGAGTCAAAGGGTGGTTTGTTTGTGTTTTTGTTGTTGTTGTTGTTGTTGTTATTGTTTTGTTTTGTTGCTGTTTGTTTTTGTTTTGAGAGACCTTCTGACTCTCAAAGGGGCTTCACTTTCTCTCAGCTCTTTGCTATTTTCGCCTTCGGGTCCTGCGGCTCTTACAGCGGGGAGACGGGAGCCATAGTTCGCTGCAACAACGAAGCCAAGGATGTGAGCTCCATCCTTGTTTTGTTCGGCTATCCCTTCAGGTGAGTAGGGACTGGTTCTGATGAGGTGCCCTCCTTTTACTATGGTAGCAGGGCTTTCTTCCTCCTCTGCTCCTACCAGCCTCTCCTCATTTGTTTCTGCTCACAGGACACACAACCTAAAGACCATTTATTGGGTGCTGTTCTAAATCAAAATAGAACGACACGGATATCATTCAGTCCATTAGCCATTTCAGACACTCTGACCAGAGTGAAACATAGATATATCGTTGCTATGGTGTCCAGTCCAAACCCAAGCAATGGCAGCTCACCACAGCTCAGAGCGAATCCAGCCATTGGGAGGAAGAGTGGTAGGGGTCTGGGCCAGTTTGGCAGCTCTCTCTGACCCTCTGCAGATTCCTCTGTATCTTGGAGGAAGGAAGCTTGTTAGAGTTTAGTTATTAAACAGTAGATGTCACCCAAATACAAAAAGGTACACCTTGACCAGGAAGTAGAAGAGGGTACAAATCCCTGAGTATTTGAGAGTCTAGGGAGGGGAAAATGACTGCTCAGAAGAGGATGGAGGCAGAGCTCATCTTTTCAGAATGTCTGAAACCACTACACAACAAACTGTATTTCCCGCTCTATTTTGTCCAATGTGGCGAAATCAGGGAGGCCTAAATCAAGTCTGTGAATCCTGTGTCTTTCTTTCTTTTTTCATTTTTCTTTCTTTCTTTCTTTTTTTTTTTTTTTTTTTTTTTTTTTGGTTTTTCAAGACAAGGTTTCTGTCTCTAACCGTCCTGGAACTCACTCTGTAGAGTAGGCTGGCCTCGAACTCATAGAGATCTACTGGAGAGATGGCTCAGAAGTTAAGAGCACTGGCTGTTCTTACAAAAGTCCTGAGTTCAATTCACAGCAACCACATGCACATGGTGGCTCATAACCATCTATGATGAGATCTGGTGCCCTCTTCTGGTCTGCATGCATACATACAGGCAGAATACTGTATACATACATACATACATACATAAATCTAAAAAGAGAGAGAGAGATCTGCCTGCCTCTGACTCTTAAGTGCTGGGATCAAAGGCATGTGCCACCACTGCCCAGCTTCTTTTTTAAAGATTTATTTACACATATGAGCACACTATCTGTATGTATGACTACATGACACAAGAGAGCATCAGATCCCATTAGAATGGTTGTGAGACACCATGTGGTTGCTGGGAATTGAACTCAGGACCTCTGGAAGAGCAGCCAGTGATCTTAACCACTGAGCCGTCTCTCCAGCATCCTGTGTTTTTCTAAGGGCAAAATGAATGTAATTCGTCTAGTGGTTTAGCTCCCAGAAATAGTTGGACTGCATATATGTTATGACTTAAAGGTCCCTGGAGATACTTAAAAATTCTGGCCAGACGGATGGGTATAGAGTGGCTGCTGAAGTACACGGGGCTTGGATGGAATCTTGCACTAGGGCTGGGCTCAGTGGCTAAAGTACTTACCCAGCATGTGTGAGACCCCAAGTTCAATCTCTAGTACTGCCAGAAAAACAAACAAACAACAACAACAACAACAACAACAAAACCAGAGTAGAATTTTGAGGTAGCTCCTGTCTTGACAGCAAGATTTCCTCAGAAGTTCCTACCTACAAGACTCCTTTCCCAGGGTGGAAACCAACACAGGAACCCTTCTTGGGCAGGGCGAGAGAGGCTGGCCCTTGCTCAGCATGGCTTCCCTTGCTGCCTGCAGGTTGCACCGGGTCCAGTATGAGATGCCGCTCTGTGATGACGACTCCACCTCCAAAACCATGCATCTCATGGGAGACTTTTCTGCCCCAGCTGAGTTCTTTGTGACCCTTGGCATCTTTTCCTTCTTCTATACAATGGCTGCCCTAGTCCTCTACCTGCGCTTTCACAAACTCTACACAGAGAACAAACGCTTCCCGCTGGTGGTGAGTGAGCACAGCCCAGAGAGATGGGACCAAGAAATGGAAGAGACATTTGTTAGAAGGCTGGAGTCAAAGATAGAGGGGAGCTCAAAAGTAATGGCTTCCCTGAAAGAATGGAACCTTTGTCCTACTGACCTCTCATGGTTTGTTCACAGTCAGAGGAAGCAAAATAGTATCTTTATGAAACAGCCTCTAGAGCCAACCTACCTGTGTTCAAATCCCAGCACTTGCTCCTAATAGACATTAGACAAGTTACTCAGCCTCTCTACACTTTAATTTCCTTGGCTATAAAGTAAGGATGGAGTATTGAATACTTGTGTCTGTGCTTTGGGAGGATAAAATGAGTATGCAGCACTGTACTTAGCATTCTCTGATTATTAGGATCATTTCCTTTACTTCCTCTTATTTTAGGCATCCAAGATGGGAAGTACGCTTTAGGAATATTCACTGTCTCCTGAAGCTGCCTTCCTCATTACTTAGAGTTTGAACAGTGGTGATCAAAGAGGGAGTCGAGAGGAAAGAGTGGGAAGTGTAGGTCACTTGGGTTGCAAAGAGGGAGGGTTACCCTGGCTCATTGCCTGACCTTAATTCCAAGGGCAGGGATATGGCAGTCTTGGTGGCAGCATTCCTTTGGTGGCACTGAACCGAGTCCTCAGGTAGGATGAGAAGAGGCATCTGTCTTGGGACCTCAGGATTCCTTGTGTGACAAGAGGAAAGAAAAGTAACTGATGGTCACAGGCCCTTCTGAATGTCTTTCTCCCTCTGCTCCTCCTAGGATTTCTGTGTGACTGTCTCCTTTACCTTCTTCTGGCTGGTTGCTGCAGCTGCCTGGGGCAAGGGCTTGACTGATATCAAAGGGGCCACCCGGCCATCCAGCCTGACGGCAGCTATGTCCGTGTGCCACGGGGAGGACGCAGTGTGCAGCGCCGGGGCCACCCCCTCAATGGGACTGGCTAACATCTCAGTGGTGAGACTTGTGCTCCCTGAAGGGGTCTGAGAAAGGCACACTAGCCCAGCTGTCCCAGATAGCTGCTTCTGAGAGGAACAGGGAAGGTGTCCTCAGAGCCGATGCGCTCTGCACCTAGGCTGGTCACCCCTGCTCTGACCTGAGGAGATATTTTTGGATGAGGAGAATCTGAGTCACTTCTTTGCCATCTCTCCTTCCCACTTTTAGCTGCCCTGGGGGTTACCCTTTCTTGCCTGCTTGGCCACATGTCACATAGGAGCAAGTGCAGAAGGAGCTGAGGTCTGTCTGGGCTCAGAGCTGTGAGCAGACCAGTGTGTGAGAGAAACTGCTCCTGTCACTTAGCCTTCCCTGCTGGAACAGGATTGAGGGGGAGTGGTGGGTTCAGCTGGCAGGCAATCCACGTTTTAGCCTTCCAGTTATTACAGTGCCGAGATACACCTCTATAAGCCGGTAAATACCCACAGTATTAAACTTCTCAAATGCCCCCTGTCATCTCAGCCATACCAGCCATACCCACCCAGAAAATGCCCTAAAGATCCCCAAGCCTCACAGTTGGAATGTTTAATGGCTAATGCACCAAGGAGCCTTCTGGAACACTGAACATAGGTTTTTCTTCCAATTTTTTAATTGCAAAAAAAAAAAAAAAAAAAAAATCATATCCCGAAAAAATGAAAAAAGTTTACAGGGAAAGCCCACATAGTCACCTCCTAAATAATAACACTTCAATGTATCTGCCTTATATGCGTTTATCCATCTTTTCTTATCTATTGTTTCTATTTTGGTTTTTGAGACAGGATCCTCCTATAGTTGTGCTTGAACTCACTCTGTAGCTCAAGTTACCTTTGAAAACACGATTCTTTTGCCTCGGCCGTCTATGTACTGGAATTACTGATTTGTGCCACTACAGTCAGCTTTTCTTTTCATCTGTGTCTTGAGACCCAGACTAGTCTCAAATTTACGTCTTCCTTCCTTAATCTCCTAAATGCTAGCATTGCACAGGTGTAACCCACCATGCCTAGCTTATCAGTCCTATTACTATACTTTGAGCCAGAATCTTACTATACAGCCCTGGCCGGCCTGAAACTCACTATACAGAATGGGCTGGCTTCTGGCTCATGGGGATCTGCCTGTCTTTGCCTCAATAGTACTAGGATTAAAGGTGTTCACCACCATGGCTAGCTCAATCCATTTTTAAACACACTTTCCAAAGTGAATTGCAAACATCAGCGCCTTCTCCCTAACTGCTCTTTTGTTAGAGTTTTGTTGTTGTTTTGTGTTTTGTGTTCTGTATCCCCGACTGCCCTGGAACTCTACAGAAACCAGGATGACTTCAGACTCACAGAGATCCACCTGCTTCTGCCTCTACTGGGATTAAAGGTGCGACACCACACCCTGCTCTGTTGTCAGTTTTTCAAAGATTTTTTTCAGTGACTATTTGAGTAGAGCTGACAAAGTGGCACATACCTGTAACACCAACAGCCTGTCTGACAGAGTCAGGAGGGTTACAGGTTCTAGAACAGGCTAGGTACGCACAGAAAACAAAGGAACACTAACAAAAACAATAGGAGTTTGAATGAGCCTTCGCTTAGTCTTAAGGTACCCTTAGAGGAGTACCTTGGACAGCTCCAACCACGTGCACCTCAAGCAGGCAAGAGGGAGTCCCTTGATTGACTTAGCATTCCTGGGGCCTGATTCCACTAGCCACCAAGCTACACTGTGGATGCATTCAGGATAGAGTTTAGACACCTTCACTAGAGGATCCCTTAATAGACAACAGCCTTGAACCCTGTCTACACCTAGTTCTCTGTGCTCCTCCTCCCATTCTCATGTGGTTCTTCCTTGACTGTTCTCACAAGCTCTCCTTGTTTCTTTTGTAGCTCTTCGGCTTTATCAACTTCTTCCTGTGGGCTGGAAACTGTTGGTTTGTGTTCAAAGAGACCCCGTGGCATGGACAGGGCCAGGACCAGGGCCAGGGCCCCAGCCAGGAGAGTGCAGCAGAGCAGGGAGCAGTGGAGAAGCAGTAAGAAGCCCTCATCTGGCTACTCCTGAACTGGACAACACCTCTTCATCATCATCTCCTCCTCCTCTTTCTCCTCCTCCTCCTCCAGCTCCTTTCCCCCATCATCCTGGACTTTGAGATTTGAGACAATGGATGAGTAGGCATCAGCTATTGGTAACCTGGGTATCCCTCCACTGGCTCCCTATCCCTCCTCCTGCAAATGGCAGGACCTCAGTGCTTCTTGGCTACTGCCTGGACTCAAGCATCTTACTTGGGGAAGTCAACTGGCAACTTTGCCCTGATTCCTGTGTGGAGGGCCTGGCAGAGGTTTTGTGACATCCCCCAATGGCTGTCATCTAGTCTGTAGCTAATCTCTAGCCCCCCACCCTACCTCCAGAGCTCAGTGTGCCCCCCAATCTCCTCTCTGGCCTGTTTGTCTGTAGCTCCCGCCATGTGTGAAACAGGGAGACCCATATCAAGGGGTCCTCCAAGGCTCCATATGAGGCCTGGACTCAGAGGGAGCAGACAGAGTTGCAATTGTGTTGCAGCTTCCAGGAAAAAAGTCAGGAAAGTTGCTGGCAGAATGTGGTTTCTGCCCCCTCAGTCCTCCCTTTCCCTCAGCTGGAACACTTTCAGTAGCACCCTAAACTCCACCTACTCATGAAACCCCTTATTCCCTTCTCCTTCTTGGCCTTGGTTTTGTCTCACACTTAGGAAACAAGATAGACAGCTAGGAACGTTTTCCCTTCATTCTCCTACCCCCAATACACCTGTCAGCCCATCTCCCTTTCCCAACCTATTGGAGACGAGGCTTTTAAGAGTTTTTTTAAAGTCTGCCCAGGCCTTCCTTTCATTCCTGTGGGCTTTGGGAGGGCCTGAAGGACCATCATGAGGCTGAGGTGCCCAGGGAGGACGTGGATACATGGGCCCACATGTCCCTTACTGTCTGCTCAGTTTCTCAAAGCAGCACTTTTTCACACCTTCTCTTCCCCATCTTTACAAAGAGGTGTTCTCTCTCCTCATCTCCCCAAGTCCTCCCTTGCTTCCATACGGTAGCCAGGCTCCATCCTTCCCCGGTCCTGGGCAGCCCGATGCTATTGGTGCTTCTTCACTTCGGGATCCAGTTCCATATTTGTCTTTGATGTGTCTCCTCTTCCTGGCACCTCCTTCCATCATCCCTCCTTGGGCCCCAAGGTCTGAGGGTACCAACTGGGTAAATGCCATCTGCCTCCTACCCAGATCAAAACCCCCTGATCTACCCTGGCAATAGGGAAAGATGAAGAAGGAAGAAATCATCCATTTCCCAATTTAGTGCCAGTTGGCCCACTGAGCATCCCAAAGATGGAGATGTTCTGTGCCAACCTGTCCTTAAGACATGGTCAACCCTCTCCAACCTCCTTGCCTTCCTCAATACTACCCACATCGAGATGGGTGCCCGGGGCTTAGAACCCTTAACTTTTGGGCCATTCATTTCTTCTTTGGGTTACAATTCTCAGCTTCACAGGAGAAGTATGATATTTATACTCTTCCACATGCCCCCAAGTCCTTCAGGAAAAAAAAAAAAGGAATTTTTTGTTTCCTCTCTTAGATTTTAGGGGTAAGCTTTAACGAGGAGGAAGGTTGATGAGAGCGAGAATGTTCCCAAATCTGACACTCTCTATCCTAAGTTGTCCCCATGTTTACTTAAGGACAAGAGGGACAGTTTTGCCTACAGCTCTAAAGATACATTTTTCTTCAAGCAAGCCCCTGTGGGGAATCTGTGAGCAGCTTCTACTTGAACTGTGTTTGGGATCTGCGTCTATATTTATAATTTATCTGAACGTGATGGATAAAGTGTTCTCCTTTGGAGCCTAAGTTAGCAACTGGCCCATTAACTGCTTTAGGAAGGAGCTGTCCGCTTCCAGTGAGCACTCTCACTCCAGAGAGAGCTCTCTCTAGGGTTGAGAAGGCTCTTCCTCACTAAGTGTCCAGCTACGGCCAGAAGAGCCTTTATAGTCTATGGCCTCTCTTTCCATGATCACCCTAAGAGGAAAGACCAGTTCACCTCATTACCTTCAGAGGGCTGGGTAGGGCTAAGTGCCAAGCGCAGGGCTGTCCTCATAAGACTCACATCCTCTCCAACCAGGCCTGGCAGCACCACTTTGCATAGTCAGTCACTTCGCCTGAGGTAGGAGTAGGTGTCTGGTTTCTCTAGCTGTTGCAGGAGGCCAACAAGCAGGGAACTCGCCCTTTGCCCTGGTAGAGTCTGACCATGAGGAGATGCCCATCCAGGACCTTTCTGAGACATGAGTTCTCTTCATCCTGACCATGGGTCTCCTCTTTCTGAGATTGCAGATCAAGGGTGGGGGGAGAATGTTGCATGTTGTTTTCTGGTGCTTAATACACATTTGAATAAACAGTGCTGCGAGTATATGCCATGAAGAAGCCAAGACCAGAGGACTTCTGGGGGTTTCTTTCCCCTTGTTCTATGTTCTTGGACAAAGATCAGCATTTCTACCAACCCATCACTCTACTCCTCACTCCTCTGCACCCTATAGAGTCTGCTGGCTGAGCAATTGCTCCTGGCAAGCCCCAGTTTGGTGACATAGACTCTTTTGGTGGCACTCAATTAGTCCAAAGAAACTGAGACTCATTAGCAAATTTGGATCAAACTCAAAAGGCAAAAGATAGTGGTTTCTACAGTGCTGTCTCCATTTGCTCTCCTACCATCTGTGACCCAAAGGAGGAGTTGAGGGCCATATGCTTCCCTCGATTTACTCTAAGGTTCATGCTGCACAAACTTGCACCTCCATCTCCTCCAGACAGTCACGTGTTACATTTACATTCGCTAGAAAAATGTACTTGGGCACAAGTTTTACATTTAATTTTTTCAGGTTCCTGGGCCTTTCTGTCACCTATGGGTGGGTCTCAGGTGTAGAACTTCTCCCTCAGATATTATTCTTCTTAAACTCTTCTTAAACGGAAAGCAGAAACTCTGCTGTCTTAAAGTCACAGACCTTGACTTATTTGCTCCCAAACTCAGTTTCATTTTAGGCAGAAAGATGCAAGATGGCGTGGGGTATGAGGTAGTCAAAGAAAAAGAGGATTAATATTTCATTCCCAATGAGAATAGGGAGGGAGGTGAAGTCAGACTCTTCTGTCTCGTGTAAGGGTGTGAAGAAATATCAGCTGAGAAGAAAGGTGGGTGATTAAGGTACTTTCTGGGCCTGGGGGGGGGGGGATAAAAAGAAGAAAAAAAAAAGAACGAGAGAAAAGAATAGGATAGATATGATGAAAACCCTCCCAAGGCTTCAGTAGCAGCTTTTCCAGCGGCGAAAATATTCATTAGAAAAAAGAAGCCGAAATGATGGATGGAGTCAGGGTCCAGCCAGAATTTGGGAAGAGGCGGTGCAGGTTATCGATCGTAGTTCCCAGGAGAAGAGAGATGGATCAGCAGAGACACTGCAAACACCAGCAGCCTCGGGGCCACCCTAGTTCCGGGGCTGGTTCTGGCTCGGAGATTGCCTTCTGTCATACTGACAGGTGATCTTGGCAAGCTCAGCCAGGTCCTCCCAAACCCAGACAACAGCAAAACCTCCGTTCTGCATCAAGGCATTGTGGGTTTCCCACAGAGGAAGAGCACAGGCGCGGAGGCCCTCCCCCACTGCAAGCCCTGTGTCCTTCAGCACGTCCTGCACACTCCCTCCCCTTGCCCTTCTGATTCACTGCGCCCACCTCCCTGCACCTACCCTATTCGAGCTACAGGGGAGCGGAGTCACTTCGTGGCCGCCAGCCCAGGAAGGGGCGCCAGCCAGCTGGCGGATGCACGGCTTTAGAGGGGCATCTTGGGCAGAGAGAGGTTTGGGGCTCGGGTGCGTGCCGTAATCTCGGAAGAACGGACTAGTGGCACAAAGGATGTGTGCAGAGGGGTTGGAAGACGATGTTCCGAGGCTCCGATCGCTCCTTGCCTGCGAGCGATTGTGCCTTTCGGAGGGGATCCCTCGGCTAGGTCCGTAGGCATCGCCACCTCTCCGCAACTACACTTCCCAGAAAGCTGTGCGGGAGCTGAGGCGGTGGTGGTAGGAGGCCCGAGCTGCGCTTGCGCAAAGAGTGAACTGGCAAGGTAGGGGGAGAGGGAGGCGTGCCCCCGGCCGGGGGGGGGGGGGAGGGGGCCGCGCGGCGGCGGCGCCGGGGCGGGCGCGCGTCCGCGGCGGTGATGGCGGTGCGTGAACGCGCGGTGGCAGCAATGGCCGCTCTGGAGCGGCGAGTGCCGAGTCTCGATGACTTCGCGGGACAGAGCTGGAGCTCGTGGGTGGAGCGGGCCGACCTGCCCGCGGCAGACGGTGAGTACAGCCACACTAGAGTCCGGGGACCCCATCATTATCTCCCCTCCCCCCACCGGGGCCCCCTCCAGCTGAGGGGAGCCGCCGACTAGAGCCGCCGTCCGGCTCCCCGGCCCCCCAAACAAAGGACCCGCCGGGTCCTAGTGCCCGCCTGCTTCAGGTACCTTCGCGCCTCCGGGTCCTAGCGCCGGCGCATCGCTTGCAGCCCACCCTGCCCACCTCTGTCTCTGCGGGCGCACAGTACCTGCCCCCACTTTACTTGCCTTTATTTTTCTTCTTGTGTGCTGACCTTCAGCGTTTATCCGTTCTGCACCTGCCCCGGTTCTACCTATCTCCAACAGTCCTCTCCACGTGTTTCCCACGCACCCCACTTCTGTGCCCCCTCCCCACCCCCTTGATCCTTGCCTTTTGCCCCGCACCTTAGCTTCTTTCAATGTTTCCACGCCTGCTGCAGTATTCCTGAACCCCCGCCCCCTCTGCTTTAGTTCGTCCATCATCCATGCATCCATCCATCCATCCTCCCAACCTTCCTCCATCAGTCCACCCATCCATGCCTCCAAGCCTCCATCCTTTCCTGGGCCCCTTGCCCTGCCCCTTGGCTCTCTCCCTTAACCCCTATTTTCTGTAGGCCCTTGAGTGCCTTTGGTGAGCAGGCCTGCAGCCCCTTCTGATCTTTGTCTCCTGGGCCCCAGGGAGCACCTGGCCTCGTGGCCTTTCGGGGTGACAGCAAGCACCACACCCCTGAAGAAGTTTGCAAGTGAGAAGAGGTGGAGGAGGAGATCCCATGGAGCAGTCTCTAATGACACTTGTTCTCTTTTGAGACATCTGATTTCCAGCTCTGTTCTGTCTATCATTGCCCACACTTGCATTTAAGGCACTTAAAAGAGTGGGAGCTGCCCCTTGTCTTTTGCATGCCTAACCAACTACCACTCATGTCTGGGTATTATGATTGCCAATAATCTTCTCATCCTAGAAGGGAGTGTTAAAGAGCCGACCCAGACGGGAGTACAGGCCACTCTTGGGCTGCCCCGTGTCAAGTGGGCTAAGATGGTCAGGGTCTAGATGCACTGAGAACCGGAAATGGACTCAGACAGATTTGGTGACTCAGAATTGATTCCCCCACCCCCCAAGGGACAGGGAGGGGGCTTAGAGGAGGGGGGTGAGGAGTGAGGTAGGGGATGGGGAAAGAGCTGCTTTGCACAGCTAAGATGTTTTTGTCATTAACCCAGAAACTGAGGTACAAGGGCAACCCCTGGACAAAGCCCCCCTAAGAAGGGGAGGGGCTTGCGTAGCTGATCAAGGAGACTTTGAAGATGCCAAAGGGTCCAAAGACAGCAGTTTCTCTACTCTATGGCCATCCTATCAGTGCAGGACCTGAGAAGCTGAGTGTAACTTTGATGATACTATGGTAACTTGGGTGGAGCAAAATGAGTCTATGGGGGTGGGGCTCGGGGAGGGTGTTTGTCTGGGATGCCACAGAGTAGCAGAAAGGACCCGCGTAAGAAGTCTCAGAAGGGACCTGTAGAAAATGTTAGACCGGTTTCCCTTTTAAATGGGGAAGCAAGGCCCAGAAAAAAGACATTTACCCACAGTCACCCACCTAGACAGCAGCGGAACTCTGTACTGTACCTGGGAGTGAAGGGTCATTATGACCCTTCTAAATGGGGTCATCTCATCTCAGAGAGGCACGCCAAGGAAAAATGGGCTCTTGTGAATGACCCGCTGAAAGTTTCTCCAGGAATTCTGAGTGCTTGTCAGGGACTGTGGGCTTTATACCACTGGGCTGCAGGCCCTGCTGGGTTCTGGGAAGGGAATGGGCCTTCTGAGCTATGCTTCTCCTCCAGGGGCTGAACTGGAGGAAAGTAGCAAAAACATGAAGAAGCCGGACACCATGACCCTCATTAAAGAAGGTGGGAGTCAACAGGGCCGGGACTCGGGGGACGTTGGACCACCTTCCCCTCTTCCAATGGAAGAGGGGGCTTGAAGCAGCAAGACTGCTGGGGGAGCCTCATTTTGATAGGTCGGAGTCAGCCAGTTGCCCTGGCTCCCGTGACCTGTTGTCGGAGATCCTGATCACATGTGGTCGGTACCCACTCACATGAAAGCGTATACACTTTGGGTCTGGTTAGATTGGACTGTGGAAGCTGGGAGCATCCAGCAGAAGAAGCCTGTCGTATGTTGGAAGGCAGAGTGTTTTCTAAGTGGTGGGGTGAGAGTGCTCCTTGATCTAGGGAAACCCCTGGTCCCTGACCCCAGTGATAAAGGCTTCTGTCATTGCAGACATGTCCATCTTCGGACACTGCCCTGCCCATGATGACTTCTATTTGGTTGTATGTAACCACTGCAGCCAGGTGGTGAAGCCTCAAGCCTTCCAGAAGCATTGCGGTGAGGGGCGCCCCAGGGAGGTGGTAAGGGGGCAGGAAGGCGGAATGTGGAACTCTTAGGACAGTGTCAGTTGGGAGGTCATATGGGGTAAAGGAAGATGGTGCTGGGGGCAGCTTGAGTCTTGTAGGTGTCAGGATTGTTGTTTGAATAAGCTTCTAGCATCAAGTAGAGTGAAGAGGTTCAAGAAGTGTGGTCTAGACTCTTGACTCTTAAAGGCTCAATTTTAAATGGGAAGGAGACAAGCTCACAGCCCAAGCTCTAGCAATTCAGGTTCTGTAAAAAGAATTGGTGGGCTGGTTAGGAGACTAGGGGGAGGAGGTAGTCAATACCGCTCACCTCAGTTACTCTTTCCACCTCCTGGTGACAGAAAGAAGACATGGGCCCCTCAGCAAGCTTTATGCCCGGGCCCCACCCCCACCTCCAGCCCCTGCCAGCTCTCAGAAATGCCATGTAGTGAATGGGCAGGGCCCAGCTTGTAGAGCCCCAGGTTCCACCAAAACCTCCTCCAGGGAGAAGGGCCAGGGGTCCCGGAGCCGTGGCCACCAGCCTCCTGAGAAGACCCAGAAGGACAACCTCTGGTAAGAAGAGGCTGGGAACCCCTCAAGACTAGCCCTGACCCTGACCCAAGAAAGGGTTGACCTTCATCCCTGGCTTGCAGGATACTGCTCACAGTGAGAAATAGCTAACCCATCTGCAGCTCCTTTTCCATATATTCCAGGGAACATGGGCTCCCCTTTTTTTCCACGCCTCTCTTGGAGCCCACCCAAGTTCCAGAGCTAGGGAGGAGATGGCTCTGGGATAGAGTCCAGACCCCAGTCCCAGCCTCCCCACCTCCCAGCCCATACCCTCTCTCCACGTGTAGCCTTTTCGTGCCTGTGGTGAATCTGGAGAAGATGTCCGGTCTCCCGAAGCCCGACGGACATGGAGTCAGGGTGGTTCCACCCTCTGCTTTCCTCAGTCAGCCAGGAGGCCTCCCCAAGGACTCCCCTGGAAAAGTCCCCATGGCCCCCTCTCCTAAAGAACCTCCTGGCAGAGAGAACATGGAGTTAATACCTGGTGAGGGCTCCAGTCACCGGGCCGAAGGCAGCCCCCTGGAGAAGGAGCCCAGCGGAGCCAGGCTGCCTCCTAAAACCCACCGAAAGATGGCTCGTGAGTAGTTATAGACACGGGGCTCAGAAAGGCAGAGTGGAGACCTCATTGGGCTTCTCTATTCTTCAGTCAGGAAGGAGTGGACCTGACCAGCTCTGGCCATTACAGTACAGTCAGGGTACAGAAGCCCCACCGCCTCCTGTCCTGCTTGTTCCCAGGAAGCTTTGCTGGTCTGGATCTCGGAGCTAGTCTGAGAGAGCTTGTGTCCAAGCCAAGAGAGTCACTCTTTCTTGCCTGGGGACATTGACCGTTATCTCCTTCCTTACATCCCACAGCTGGTTTTCCTGGCATCTTGGATGCCTGTGGCTGCTTTTGCTTCTTGTTATGGGCTGCCCTGCTTTGGGCTTCCAGTCTCCCAAAAGTGCTGGGCCAGGGATGGGGCTGGAATGGTTTACACCCAGCAGGTAGAACTGAAGACTTGAGGATGAGGCTCTTCTGCCTTAGGTTTGCTGCTTCTTGGGCCCTTGGTAGCAAGAGGCCAGATTCTTCCTTGGTCCCCCCGAAAATGGCCTTGAGATTTCATTTGTACCTCTTTCCCCACAGGAAAAGAGTTTGACCTCAATAGGCAGTGTGGGGTCATAAATCCAGAGACAAAGAAGATTTGTACACGTTTATTGACTTGCAAGGTAACCTTGCCCCTCTGCATGGGGATGGGGACCAGCACAGACACAGAACCTTGGAAAGGAGAATTCAGAAGTCACTGTAGAGTCAGTTCATGGGAAGGGGGTAGGTGTACATCAGGGAAGGAGAGAAATGGATACTTGTAGTGGGCACAAGTAGGGCACAGTAGACAGGGAGTGCCCTTCAGATCCCCTTACCCAGAGGAGAGTTTTGGCCCAAAGAGAAAAATGGACGCATAAAAACCCCTCACCACACACACATCTTCTCTTTCTCTGTCAAAGTAGACTGATACCCCTCACTCCTGCTCAGATCACACCTCTCTCCTCTTCTCCTCTGCTGTGTTCTAGATCCACTCAGTGCACCAACGCAGGGAGGTCCCAGGCAGGGCCAAGGACTTTGACGTGCTGGTGGCCGAACTGAAGGCCAACTCCCGCAAAGGAGAGTCTCCCAAGGAGAAGAGCCCAGGACGCAAAGAGCCAGCTCTTGACCGCCCTTCCCAGGAGCTTCCTGCTGCCATGCAAGGTGTGGCGGCGGCAGCTGCCCCCAACACCACCTTCTCTCCTCGGTCTAAGCAGACCTA